CTCAAAACCTTATTTGACAGATTCGTGTGAAAAGAATTTCATATCCATATTCATATTTGTTGGATTAAAGGTATGGTTAAATCTGGAAACTACTTAAGCTGCGTTGTCCAAGGCGCGTCTGTTGCGTCTGACGCAGAGCGATGATCGCCGAGCGATGATCGCTGAGCGTCGATCGCTTTGGAGGCCCGTTGTCCAAGAACGCGTCTATTCAGTTCAAAAGTTGGTTGCTGACTGTGTTAAAATTTATTTTGCTCTCACTATTAGCGTTAAGAGCCAAGTGTTGAAGATCATATTCATCGAAGAGATAGAAAACGAGGAAATTCTGGACCTTTAGTGAACCTCGGTTGTGTACCCACAGTGTTTTCAAAAAGAGAAGTGAGGAAGGATATTTTAGAATACTTATCAAAAACCACTTTAATGCAGACAAGAGTCTGTTAAGTGATTTTTTTTTACTTTTAATGGAAACAGTTTAAGTTCCGTTAAATCCTTTAAAGTTTAATTTGTAATAATTTAATTAAACACTAATTTATTATTATTTTGAAATTTTTCTTTACTTAAATACAGATATCTCCTATTCTAAATAACTCCCAATATGTAATCCATAACTAAAATAAAAGTCAATACTTTGGTGAATTATTTTAGACTATAACTTTAATTTAATTTTGATTTAATTTTGTGTTTTTGTTCGTAGTGGGTCTCTAACTCGTCTGATTTTAATTATCAATAACTCAAATGGAGGAAGCCCTTACATTACTGAATATTTTAAGGTTGAAACGAACTGCAAACGTTAATAAGAACTGGAGATTTTTAAAAAATGATAAAAGTACGAAACGTCTATAAGAAATGTATGGGGAAAAGTTTTCGTTTGAATATCTTTAAAACGAAAAATAAATAAAAACGGATTCCCACATTGAAATTAGCATGAAAATCTAGTTTTGTGAATGATGTGTCACAAAACTATCTACTACATATCTATCAACATATCCACTCAACATATCTACATATCTACTAACTATCTATTACATAAAAAAATATGTATATCCAATATGGCGGATCCAAGATGGCGGCCATAAACGTGTTTCCTATCGTAATGAAGTACTAACCACCCAATAAATACTGGTGGTGATCTTAAGTCAATATCTCGTAAATGTGCATAAAAATGCATGTCGAATCATTTTTTATTATTTTTCCAATGTTGGGAAAAGCCACCATTTTTTATAATGATTTTAGGGGGTTTCCCATGGACCGATTTTTGGCAACCTTTCACTCAGCAGACCCAACACTACAAAATAAAACCCTAAAACATTATCTTGCAAACTTTTTAGGCCATATTCTATATTTCTTTGACTATAGCCATTACATTAAGATACTGTATATTATGGAGTATACGGGAGAACACAGAAACAACAATGCAATAGACGCTGGCCGTCAGCGATCCCGTCTGCTCCCGGAGCAGTGCCTCGCGTCAGACGCTCAGCGTCTCAAGCGTCAGACGCTAGAGACGCTCCCTTGGACAACGGGTTCATTGAAATCAATGCTTAGCAGTCACTGAGCGTCCATCGCTAGCGTCTATTACTCAGCGTCAGACGCAACAGACGCGTTCTTGGACAACGGGCCTTTAAACGGTCTTACGTTTTCATTATCATGTTACGTACTACAAGAAAACCCAAATGTACTGTTTAAGTACGATAGATTCAGAATATTTGCGAGGATAATGGCTTGAATTGACCGAAAACGGGAAGAGACTATTTATGTACATCATAATATTTTAAACATTAATCGCACTATAAAATAAATAAGTGTGATGTAATTTTGACAAGTCTAAGTAGCAGCTGCTTTCTAATGTTTTCGTAGAATAGAAAATCGTGGTTCACAGAAAGAATACGACTAAATCAGCTTGAATCCGGCAAACTAACAAATCATTAACTACAGGGCACTTAAAAAAAGAACATGATATGTGTTTTTCTGTGGGCTCCCAACGAGGTTGCACGATAATTATTTAACTAGCGGATAAAATTTTTATATTAAAATATAAGAAACTAGCTGCTATACCCGTGCCTTACGACGGGGTCAAGATGCAGAAGAGACAATTTTTGTTCCTTGAAAAAAATAGCTAGCAGCTTGTGAACGCTAAAGAGAACAGTTTTTATATTCCCTAGATCTTCTGTATGTAGATAGACTTTTATGAATTTACTATTAACTGGCTACATAAATTGTGTCACACTCGAGTGATAACTCATTCAGGGCCGCAATGAAAAAAAAAACAAATGTAAAATGTATACATATTGTAAATTATTCTGTGGACATTTGTTGTATATACTTATGTAAAAATATTAGGATAGTTTAGTGACTTGAGTTAGTTTGAAAAACATGTATCATGAAACTCCCTCGTAAATAAAGGCCTTTGTATTTATTTATTTATTGTAATGTATAAAAAAAATATCCAAATCAAGTAATGACCGAAACGGTAATGCACTGGCTAGTGTCTATCAAATCTTTAGCTGCTGAAACGCACATAGACGCTACAGAACTATTACACCATCTAACCACTGTTATCAGGGGCTAGGTCGGACACCGGCGCATTTGTTTAACAATCCATCCTATTAGAACCTAATAAGAGATATATTTGTTTGGTTTCCACTATGACTAGCCTTTAATCTAAAGTCCGACCTCCAACACATGCCTGTAAACCAGTTGTTCGCCAAATAATGACAGCGGTATAGGACACGTACAGAACGTGAGTTATTTCAGACCATAAAAGTCGAGATAATTTAATCAGATGGAGATTTGTTAGATATAGAGTTTCACTTTGACCCTAGTCGTTATCTGGTGATCCCGTGGAGGCAGCCTCCGACGATGCAGTCTTCATGTCGCACGTAGGTCTACCTCCACTACCCGCAAAACTGCAGGACCTTGTAGCTTCAATAGAAAATAAATTGTCCCAAACCTACAGTCAATGTTATTCAAGGGTCTATAGGGGGTATTTTCTATTTCTATTGTTTTTCAGAATCCGAAATTAACTCCTACCCTCAGGGGAGAAAGTACCTAAAACACAATAAGATTAGTAAATAAAGCTTTAACTTGTATATTTTACACGGTGGGGGTTACGGGGGTGCTTACGGGGGTTTTTTAAGGAGCCATAGGGGATACTTGGAGCTCCAAGTATAGAAAATCGTTAGAGAAAACCCGAGTGTATTCGTGGTATATGATTGTCAGAATAAAAAAAGGTTATTTCAGAAGTTCAAGTTGTAGATTGATTATGGCTAAAATAAAGGTAGCAAAGCTTTCAACTTATTACACTTTTGTCGTAACATCATTTTATAAGCTATAAATGACAGTGGCATTAAATAAGTAAATTTTGCATTATTGTAACTCCTCTTGATCCTACCTCCACGATTATGTCGCTGTCATAGCGTCTGATCGTCTGGTCCATCCAGAGTTTGTAGCGAGATGAAGTGTTCCTCTCTTTCCCTCTTCACAGGCTTGTGCTGTCATAGCGTCTGATCGTCTGGTCCATCCAGAGCTTGTAGCGAGATGAAGTGTTCCTCTCACTCACTCTTCACAGGCTTGTGCTGTCATAGCGTCTGATCGTCTGGTCCATCCAGAGCTTGTAGCGAGATGAAGTGTTCCTCCCATTCCCTCTTCACAGGCTTGTGCTGACGTAGCGTCTGATCGTCTGGTCCATCCAGAGCTTGTAGCGAGATGAAGTGTTCCTCCCATTCCCTCTTCACAGGCTTGTGCTGTCATAGCGTCTGATCGTCTTGTCCATCCAGAGCTTGTAGCGAGATGAATTGTTCCTCCCATTCCCTCTTCACAGGCTTGTGCTGACGTAGCGTCTGATCGTCTGGTCCATCCAGAGCTTGTAGCGAGATGAATTGTTCCTCCCATTCCCTCTTCACAGGCTTGTGCTGACGTAGCGTCTGATCGTCTGGTCCATCCAGAGCTTGTAGCGAGATGAAGTGTTCCTCCCATTCCCTCTTCACAGGCTTGTGCTGACGTAGCGTCTGATCGTCTGGTCCATCCAGAGCTTGTAGCGAGATGAAGTGTTCCTCTCATTCCCTCTTCACCAGCTTCAGTGCTGTCGTAGCGTCTGATCGTCTTGTCCATCCAGAGCGTGTAGCGAGATGAACTGTTCCTCCCATTCCCTCTTCACAGGCTTGTGCTGACGTAGCGTCTGATCGTCTTGTCCATCCAGAGCTTGTAGCGAGATGAAGTGTTCCTCCCATTCCCTCTTCACAGGCTTGTGCTGACGTAGCGTCTGATCGTCTTGTCCATCCAGAGCTTGTAGCGAGATGAATTGTTCCTCCCATTCCCTCTTCACAGGCTTGTGCTGACGTAGCGTCTGATCGTCTTGTCCATCCAGAGCTTGTAGCGAGATGAAGTGTTCCTCCCATTCCCTCTTCACAGGCTTGTGCTGACGTAGCGTCTGATCGTCTTGTCCATCCAGAGCTTGTAGCGAGATGAATTGTTCCTCCCATTCCCTCTTCACAGGCTTGTGCTGACGTAGCGTCTGATCGTCTTGTCCATCCAGAGCTTGTAGCGAGATGAAGTGTTCCTCCCATTCCCTCTTCACAGGCTTGTGCTGACGTAGCGTCTGATCGTCTTGTCCATCCAGAGCTTGTAGCGAGATGAAGTGTTCCTCCCATTCCCTCTTCACAGGCTTGTGCTGACGTAGCGTCTGATCGTCTTGTCCATCCAGAGCTTGTAGCGAGATGAACTGTTCCTCCCATTCCCTCTTCACAGGCTTGTGCTGACGTAGCGTCTGATCGTCTGGTCCATCCAGAGCTTGTAGCAAGATGAAGTGTTCCTCTCATTCCCTCTTCACCAGCTTCAGTGCTGTCGTAGCGTCTGATCGTCTGGTCCATCCAGAGCTTGTAGCGAGATGAAGTGTTCCTCCCATTCCCTCTTCACAGGCTTGTGCTGACGTAGCGTCTGATCGTCTGGTCCATCCAGAGCTTGTAGCGAGATGAAGTGTTCCTCTCATTCCCTCTTCACCAGCTTCAGTGCTGTCGTAGCGTCTGATCGTCTTGTCCATCCAGAGCGTGTAGCGAGATAAACTGTTCCTCCCATTCCCTCTTCACAGGCTTGTGCTGACGTAGCGTCTGATCGTCTTGTCCATCCAGAGCTTGTAGCGAGATGAAGTGTTCCTCCCATTCCCTCTTCACAGGCTTGTGCTGACGTAGCGTCTGATCGTCTTGTCCATCCAGAGCTTGTAGCGAGATGAATTGTTCCTCCCATTCCCTCTTCACAGGCTTGTGCTGACGTAGCGTCTGATCGTCTTGTCCATCCAGAGCTTGTAGCGAGATGAAGTGTTCCTCCCATTCCCTCTTCACAGGCTTGTGCTGACGTAGCGTCTGATCGTCTTGTCCATCCAGAGCTTGTAGCGAGATGAATTGTTCCTCCCATTCCCTCTTCACAGGCTTGTGCTGACGTAGCGTCTGATCGTCTTGTCCATCCAGAGCTTGTAGCGAGATGAAGTGTTCCTCCCATTCCCTCTTCACAGGCTTGTGCTGACGTAGCGTCTGATCGTCTTGTCCATCCAGAGCTTGTAGCGAGATGAAGTGTTCCTCCCATTCCCTCTTCACAGGCTTGTGCTGACGTAGCGTCTGATCGTCTTGTCCATCCAGAGCTTGTAGCGAGATGAACTGTTCCTCCCATTCCCTCTTCACAGGCTTGTGCTGACGTAGCGTCTGATCGTCTTGTCCATCCAGAGCTTGTAGCGAGATGAAATGTTACTCTCACTCACTCTTCACAGGCTTGTGCTGACGTAGCGTCTGATCGTCTGGTCCATCCAGAGCTTGTAGCGAGATGAACTGTTCCTCCCATTCCCTCTTCACAGGCTTGTGCTGACGTGGCGTCTGATCGTCTGGTCCATCCAGAGCTTGTAGCGAGATGAATTGTTCCTCCCATTCCCTCTTCACAGGCTTGTGCTGACGTAGCGTCTGATCGTCTTGTCCATCCAGAGCTTGTAGCGAGATTAACTGTTCCTCCCATTCCCTCCTCACAGGCTTGTGCTGACGTAGCGTCTGATCGTCTGGTCCATCCAGAGCTTGTAGCGAGATGAACTGTTCCTCCCATTCCCTCTTCACAGGCTTGTGCTGACGTAGCGTCTGATCGTCTTGTCCATCCAGAGCTTGTAGCGAGATGAAGTGTTCCTCCCATTCCCTCTTCACAGGCTTGTGCTGACGTAGCGTCTGATCGTCTTGTCCATCCAGAGCTTGTAGCGAGATGAAGTGTTCCTGTGATTCCCTCTTCACAGGCTTGTGCTGACGTAGCGTCTGATCGTCTTGTCCATCCAGAGCTTGTAGCGAGATGAACTGTTCCTCCCATTCCCTCTTCACAGGCTTGTGCTGACGTAGCGTCTGATCGTCTTGTCCATCCAGAGCTTGTAGCGAGATGAATTGTTCCTCCCATTCCTTCTTCACAGGCTTGTGCTGACGTAGCGTCTGATCGTCTTGTCCATCCAGAGCTTGTAGCGAGATGAAGTGTTCCTCCCATTCCCTCTTCACAGGCTTGTGCTGACGTAGCGTCTGATCGTCTTGTCCATCCAGAGCTTGTAGCGAGATGAAGTGTTCCTCCCATTCCCTCTTCACAGGCTTGTGCTGACGTAGCGTCTGATCGTCTTGTCCATCCAGAGCTTGTAGCGAGATGAATTGTTCCTCCCATTCCCTCTTCACAGGCTTGTGCTGACGTAGCGTCTGATCGTCTTGTCCATCCAGAGCTTGTAGCGAGATGAAGTGTTCCTCCCATTCCCTCTTCACAGGCTTGTGCTGACGTAGCGTCTGATCGTCTGGTCCATCCAGAGCTTGTAGCGAGATGAAGTGTTCCTCCCATTCCCTCTTCACAGGCTTGTGCTGACGTAGCGTCTGATAGTCTTGTCCATCCAGAGCTTGTAGCGAGATGAAGTGTTCATGTGATTCCCTCTTCACAGGCTTGTGCTGACGTAGCGTCTGATCGTCTGGTCCATCCAGAGCTTGTAGCGAGATGAAGTGTTCCTCCCATTCCCTCTTCACAGGCTTCTGCTGACGTAGCGTCTGATCGTCTTGTCCATCCAGAGCTTGTAGCGAGATGAAGTGTTCATGTGATTCCCTCTTCACAGGCTTGTGCTGACGTAGCGTCTGATCGTCTTGTCCATCCAGAGCTTGTAGCGAGATGAAGTGTTCATGTGATTCCCTCTTCACAGGCTTGTGCTGACGTAGCGTCTGATCGTCTTGTCCATCCAGAGCTTGTAGCGAGATGAATTGTTCCTCCCATTCCCTCTTCACAGGCTTGTGCTGACGTAGCGTCTGATCGTCTTGTCCATCCAGAGCTTGTAGCGAGATGAAGTGTTCCTCCCATTCCCTCTTCACAGGCTTGTGCTGACGTAGCGTCTGATCGTCTTGTCCATCCAGAGCTTGTAGCGAGATGAAGTGTTCCTCCCATTCCCTCTTCACAGGCTTGTGCTGTCATAGCGTCTGATCGTCTGGTCCATCCAGAGCTTTTAGCGAGATGAAGTGTTCCTCCCATTCCCTCTTCACAGGCTTGTGCTGACGTAGCGTCTAATCGTCTTGTCCATCCAGAGCTTGTAGCGAGATGAAGTGTTCATGTGATTCCCTCTTCACAGGCTTGTGCTGACGTAGCGTCTGATCGTCTGGTCCATCCAGAGCTTGTAGCGAGATGAAGTGTTCCTCCCATTCCCTCTTCACAGGCTTGTGCTGTCGTACCGTCTGATCGTCTTGTCCATCCAGAGCTTGTAGCGAGATGAAGTGTTCCTGTGATTCCCTCTTCACAGGCTTCTGCTGTCGTAGCGTCTGATCGTCTTGTCCATCCAGAGTTTGTAGCGAGATGAAGTGTTCCTGTGATTCCCTCTTCACCAGCTTGTGCATTCGTAGCGTCTGATCGTCTGGTCCGTCCAAAGGTCGTGTAATCCTAGGGTCCGGTAAATCAGTCACTGCAGTCGTTAGGCCAGGAATTTTCCGACGTTTTGACAAAAGGTTATGATATTAGGCGTGGATAAATCTGTTGCCGCGCGGCAATGTACGCGGACCGGGTGAAGATTTGATGCCCGATATCGCACCTCGGCCATTGTTAATCGTGGCCTCGGTTCATTATTTAGAGTCGTTTAAGGAGCCATAAATCGAGCACCCCGGGCCGGACCCCCGGGGCTCCCCGGAATAGAGTCGTCCTGTGGCTGCGCAGGTGCGGGCCGCGACATTCCTTGGCTATCGGGTGTCTGTCGCGTCCCTCGACATGATAGAGACGCTACCACGACATGATAACCCGCGGTCACGGGCGACAAGAGGGGGTTCTCCCCCGTACACCACCAGCTCGAGCATCTTGGAGAGTAGGTTAGGGACGTATGTCACGTGTGATTCGTATACACGTTTCCATTATGAAATACGTGAATACGTTAAATGTAAAACATGGGTCTATATACTTTAGTGGATTAGTTTTTGTTAGGGCTGCTATAAAGCTTTTTTGCTATATAGTTTTTGCTAAGGCTGGTTTATTTGGAGCTGATATAAATACGTAATGATTTTTTTTTTGTCATACCGCAGCAAAAACAGTTGTTTTTAATACATGCGTTTTGTGCACAGAAGCATAGATTAGAGGAGTAGACATGTCTATACTCAGTTTATCTATGACAGAACAGAGCCTTTTTCTCTGCTCTGTGGTTGCGGGTCTAGGCTAGCTGATGTTTTCTCTCCAGGGCTGTGGTTGCAAACTCAGTTGTACCCTTCGATTTTAGGCATAGCTTGTATTGAAAGTATGTACCGATTGTTTTATTCCATTGTAGTTCATTTTTGAATTCTTGTCAATAGGTCAACTTATCATTAATGGTATAATGTTGAGACCATTATACGTAATAGACGAAATGATTGATTCACTTACTAAACAGCTTCTTGTTTGAAATAGCAAAATTGAAAGTATATTAGAAGTAGTTTTGAGGGGTTATCATTACATGAAAATAGTTTTAATTATTTAACTAAGTTTGCCAAAATAATGATGCAATATAACGGAAAATCATCACACAGGCAAACAGTGCTTTTCAACACTCACTCATGCTCAAAGTAAATCTTGAGCTCAGGTCGATAAGAGTCACTTTACACCCTAGTGGTGGAATTTACTCTTTCGTCACACTGCAGTAAAAATGGCTGTTTTTAATATGGGGTTTTTGGGGCTAAAGAAGTAATTTTACTCCCTAAGGTGGAACAGAATCGATGAGATCAGCTGTACATTTCCTGTCACTAAAATTCGGCCGCTGACTTTGCGGGGTAAAATAGTCCCATTTTTAAGAATATTATTTTATTGTTACTAAAAAGTGTTTGTCATTATCATCATGTGACATTGTACGTTGCATTACACTATATACAATAAATACCTTTATTTAGCGGTTTCTTTTACGATTTGAATCCATTATTTTATTGGTAGAGTTCCACGTTAGTTTATGAGCTGGTTGATCAGTCTTAAAATCACCATTCACTCTACTTTACTAGAAATTAAATATAATAAATACAATGTAAGCTATCTGTTTCTTATTATTAATAATTATAGGGAGTGAGCTGGTATAGTGGTAGACCACGTGATTTCAGTCCCTGAGGTGTTCCGGTCCCGGATTCAAATGGCTCCAAATATCCAAGTGATAATGCCGCAACCCCTCGATCTAGCCTGAAGTAATGTGAAAAACAATCCCGGACAACAATTTTAAATTGTTCTTAATTATAAGAACCATTCAAATGCACACTTCACCTTTAGTACTGAGATAAATACACGACGCATATTATCAACTTGATTTACTAGATTTTACTAGAAGTATACATATACAATCTAATTTACACACTTCTCCTTTAACTTCTTGTTCTTGTTTAACTCTATACCCTAAAAACGTGTATCTACTCAAAACTGCATACAGTTAATTGTTATTTGTGTGTGTGCAAAGGCACTTTGCGCTCGCGTTACACATTATATTTTTCGTACAGTTACTATAAATCAAATAAATAATTAGTATTCCAGACACTATACAACACGTGTTTAGCTTAGAATAAATCCAAGAGTTGAAATAAATCCAATGTTGCACCAGCTAGCTGATCGTAGTTGTGGTATATTTAAGTGTTGCCAACTTATTTTCAAGTGTACACATTGTGTGTGTGTATCACATGCCTAATAAAATTATACTGATTTGTGTTGTTTGGATGGAATACTAGAGTGCGGCAAAAGAAAATGAGCGTGACAAATGTAAGTAAATACAGCAATTAGCTACTATGCGTGCTATGATCAGTGCAAGGAAACCCACATTGTGAGGTGACTGTATAAAAATTCTTTCTCTTAAAATTGAATTTGTATGTTACTTTTCATTTTACTGAGTTTCATACTTTATGGACAGCTGGTTATTGTGATTATTGTATCAGTATTCCAGCGGTATACACACAGTAAGTTATAAATGTTGCCAGCAGTCTATTATTGTTCTGGCAACGGGTCCTTCTTCCTGCCTAACTCTGCGCCTGGACTGCGATGTCCTCACGCGCCGGCTATAGGTCCTGCATAACAACCTCTGCTTGTACAATCCTATGATTATGATTAAACGACACCCTACTTACACTATTTTTGTAGGTAGGACTTTGAGTTGGAGGGGTTTATAACAAAAGATTAATTTACACCACTTCCCTGTGTACACACATTATTGTATAACTCTACGATTCGAACACTGATTTAAAAACGGCACATTTGTGCTGTATTTACGTTGGAAGCTTTCAAGTATACCATTTAAACACCATGGATAGCTGATATTTCGCCCGCAGGTGTATTTTTGCCACGAACGGACGCAGATTCTCGTCTCTGCCCTCATATCATTCCTAAATTCCAACACGCCAAGATTCTCTCTCCTTTGGAATACTAAACACCGCCAAACACGCCACAACCTCGCCTCTTAGAACTCAATAGTCTTGTGTTGTGTACAATGTTGCAACTGATGCGAAGTAGCGCTGACTATGTGAACAATAAAGGTGTTTCGTGAAGTATTTATCACACATAGATTACAAATGATAATAATTATCCGTCACCACTTTGGGTCACATCGTATTTGAATTTTGGTGATTATTGCTGTATTTTAAGAGGTCCCTAACTACCCTCTTGATTTGATCCAAATACAAAATGGAGTGTTAACAATAAAACTAAATACATTAGGCAGGGAAAGAATGTGCGTACAGTTGTTAAATCAAACATGTATCTCCATATCCTCTTATTTAATTAAAATTGTTTAAAGATCCTTTTCTCCAATCTATATCATATAGTATAGCATATACTTATGAAGTATCAAAATTTAGCGCCGTGCACAGTTTTAATACGACAGAGAAGCTTACTAGATTTGTTTGCAAAGTTTGTGATTTCGGAAAATATAAAAATTATAACTCTTACCAAGCAATAGAACTTAAATAGGAAAGAGTATATTGACTGAGCAATGAGTGACTAATTCAATATGCTACAGGCGTAGAATTGCGTATTAATTTTATAATGCACCAATTGTCAACTATTAATTGTTAAAAACACCACACCGTGAAGTGTTTTCTTTTTGAAAACATCGTCATATCTATAGGGTTTCAATACTGTGCTGAGTTATAATTTACCCTTTTCCAGCGTTGAACTTAAATTCAAAGTGTTAAAGACAAATTACAGTAGCAAAAAAGGAAAATCTATACTTTTATAAAGAAGAGGTGGTGTCTGTGTGTTTGAATGAGATAATCTCAAAAACTACTGAACCGACTGGGCTCAAATTGCACACAAATGAAGCTACAGTTCCGAGGATACATATAGAACTATTCCCGCTTCGATATTGTCCTAGGGCTCTGCCCCGTGGGCATTCAAAAATTTGAGGTGAGAGATTTAAAAGTAAATATTGATTGATGGTATCCATGGTAACAAAGAACAAACCTACAAAGTTTAAAAATGTAAACAAGCAGAACTAACTGTCAAATGAATTTTGATTTCACAATTCCACACAGCTGGTTCAAACATATTAAATACTGCACGATTATTAGAACTGAGAGGGTAAGGATTATAAATTTAATAATGATGTCACTAGCCCGAATATAAACATTATTTAACATCACTTAAATGGAGCTGTCAAACCATATGTTAATGTAATTTCATTAGTGTATGATTCTTTCAGTTACTTCATTTGTTTATGTTTATGATCTATTATACTGAGTTTGTACTAATATTTGTGAAATACTGTAATAATATTTTACAGGGAATAATTCGTTGTAAAATAAATCATTCATGGATATAAGAATAATTAAGATTCTATAACCATTGCCAGGCCATTATCCTGAGTTTTATGAGGTTTATTTTTTTTATTTATTTCTGAGTATACAGCAATATAATCCCCCTGCCGCAGCAAGTCTATAGACTGAGTGAATTTCCATTTTCCTGATTATAATTTCACTAAAATATTGTTGTAGAAAATTACCCTATTTTCCATATTTATTTATATTTTCCTATTTTTTCCTATTTTTCGGTTTGTAACTGTTGTGATGGTTTTTTTGTTTACAGTGAAAACCATTTAACACATTATATTACTGTACCTTAAAATCTATCATTGGTTTTGTATCGTAGGTAGCCTAAATAAGTATGTACGGTATTAGTTAACCAAAACGTACTATTATCGAGTTAAGTTATACAGTTATATTTTGTTTCTGAATTAAATGGTAGGAGTGATACCATTTGGCATTTTCAAAGAACCAACATTGTCTCTTTTGCATACTGACCCCGTTGCAAGGCACGGGTATAGCTGCTAGCAAATACGAATAGTAGCGCTGGTTTGCAGTAGCTGTTCAAATAACAAGCGACCGGCGCTACTAATTGTGACCAACCGTATTATTTAGTATCT